TAATTCAATTTATCACAACTTTATTTTGTTTTAAAGATTCCAGTTCTATTTCTTCACTTAATTTCTCATATATACAATGTCATTCGTAGACATTCCAAAATTCTGAATGGAATTCTTATATCTCCAATCAACAAAAACTTAAAAATAAAAAATATGTATGTATATATGGTTAATGAGCAAACGTAACTAGTCTGTGTTAATTATTTTGTTTTTTAAAGGTTTCTTCCTTCGCTTAAGGGCTAAAACATTAGTGTAACAGAAATAAATGAAGTAGGGCCATTGGGATCTAATAAGTGTTATTTTTATCTCTCTATTATATAAAACAGTTTTTAGTGTCTTTCATATTTTATTTTATTTTAATATTAGGAGAGTAGGAGATAACAGGAGCTCAAATTTTCAGCTCAGTCCTCTAGGCTGCTATTAGCAGATAGTGCTGCTCTCCTATGGCGATTATTTTACAAATTATATAGCTGCTAATTTAATTACATATTTGTTGAGCTCCTGTTACCCTTTACTCTCCTTGTACAAAATGAATATTTTAGACTAAAAATTGGTATGGGAAATGGTATTCATCTGGAGGTGGTAATTTGATTTTACCTAAGTGACAGAAGTTATTTTTTGATCTAGACATTTTCTATTCAATACAATGTATTAATTATAATATCATAAATAATATTATTTATATCATATTGTGATATAATTATAATTATTATGAAATAGAAAAGGAAGCACAATATAACGTAATACCAAAATATTAGAAATAAAAGGTTCAAATTATTGTTGGGATTATATGAAGATAGACAATAATTTGAGCAGGACTTGGTGAGCAATATTGGGCACTGTGGATTTTATATTTTTTTTGTTTTTTTTTTATAATTGTTTTTCACTGCTTTCATTGACTTTATTAACAGATTAGTGTCTCTCAATTAGTCCTCTGAGAAATTATGTCATATTTTTCAAATAAATATTATCAAAATGTTTTAAAATTATAGTGTATCCCTGGTGATGCCTAAAGTAGCAAAATTTGGAATGATTTTATAATAAATTAATTCATGTATGAGGCCTAAATTACCACCAATAATAAGAAAATAAGAGAAAAATTACCGAATTAAGTTAATGATTCATACAAAAAATATCGACAATTTTCAATAACTAGGAATAAAACTTGACCGACATCTGAGCTAGGACTTCATAAATCCTACAAATTCTGTCACCTCACAATCCCAAACCTCAGCTTAAATCAAAAACTATTCATTAACAAAATTATTCTTCGTTCTTCTCTATGGTGCTCTACTACTATCCCACAAATCAGAAAACACAAACAAGAGACTTCAGCAATTCCAAAATGGAATTTTAAAAATATTGGTTAAAATCACGTTCTTTTAAAAAGAGAAGTTTGATAAACTTCATGGCGTATTAAATTTACACAAAGTAAATTAATTTATCAAGAACCTTTATCTTTTTCACCATTTTCCTGAAATTTTCCCGATCATGGTAATCTTCCTTCCTTTTTGATACTCATTTTTTCCTACTTCTTTCATTTGTTCCGGGTATCCTTTTGTGTTTTACAGTCTTATCACTTTATCAATAGTTTTTTTAACCTACTCCAATCCATTCTCTTCATATGCTTAAAGAGTTTTAGTCTCCTTTTTCTCATCGATATCTCTAAGTTTTCAATATGCTTATAAAGTTCACTGTTCTTTTATAGTCGATAGTCTTCCTCTACTCTTTCTGGTCCATGCATTATTCTTACTGTTCTTCGTAACGATTCTATTTAGGTAAATCCTACACTCTCTGTTTTTTAATGTCTAATTTTCACTTTCCTTGAAAGATTTTTCTTGTTATACCAACTCCTGCCTTTATTTTGTTGGTCTCCCCTACCTCCGCTTTTAGACTACACAAGGATTTTCTCAGACTAGGGAGTGAGGGCAGAGAATTAATACCAAAGTTAAAAGCGCCCCAGGCACAGAGAAGTGAATTTGTAACTTTCGTTATCAGGTTTCCGGGCAGAGCACACAGCACTGTGCACATGCGTTAGCCCGCTTGGCCACCCCTGAGTAAGAATTTTTTCCTTATTTCCTGTATCATTAGTCAATATTTCGATTTTTTCAAACACTATTTTTAACCTAGCTCTTTCTACTATTTCATACCTTCTTAAAACCAGGCCTCCATTGATTAAACCTATTAATAAATAAAATTATTAATTATATGAAATCTATTACATTCAGATCCAAACAAAAGAGAACAAAGCACATTCTATTATACGGTTAAATAAGAATATGTTTTGTACTACCAACATATTGTTACACTTAGCCTGTACATAATTTTATTAACAAATTGGAATTCGTTTTATGTTTTTTTTCTATTGCTCGTTTTCATTTATAAATGTACAAAAGGTTTTTAATAAATTATACAAAAGTAAATCCCAAATCAATTATAAATATCTTATTCTGCTTTAAAAAGAATATGAAAAGTTTGATAAAGTATATTCATAAAACTAATAAAAGCCTAAATCTAATAAAACAAGTATGGTTAAGGTATACTGAATCAGTCGTTAACTTGATTGTCGGTGATGTAGAGAGATCTAAGATGCTTAGTAATTATCATTACTCACAATCTTAGTTTCTGTTAAATCATAATTCAAGTATTTTAGTAAAAATATACATTACTAAAGTATGAAATGTCAATCAATGATTTCAATGATACAAACTGACCATATTCATCCAAAACAAAAAACAAAGAAGTCCCGTTTGAATACAAACTACCAGAAAATACCCAACAATGACAAAAGTCATTTCTTTAATAATTCATATTGAAGGATCAAAATAAATTACAAATATAAATCAATATAACCAACTGATATAAGCAATTAGTTTTGTATGACATTGAATGGTCTTGACCAATATTAATAGGCTGGTTAAACTTTAACATTAACAATCATTTTACATTTAATTTCAAAAAGGTTATGCAAACTCTACAGAAAAAATAAATAAAAAACTTGCACTACTACAACCCATGAAGGGTCTTGGATTCAACACTTGGTAAGGGAATGCTGTTTCAAAGCCAAGGAATGTGCCAGAAACTGATTGGCCTAGGATCATGCTCAAATGACAGTTTTTCCCCTTAATTAATTATTTGATTAAGAGTACCCAATTTGAAGAGGATAAGTGTGCCCAAGGAGGGTCTCCCGACAGGCACTGATTAAACAAAATAAATAATTACTTCTCCCATATAAAAAGTAAATCTAATTTATTGAAGGAAGCTAGTCAACTATTCTACATATTATGGGTGATAAATAGTCAGGACGCAGTCATTATAAAAATTTGTGCCAACATTTCAACTCACATGTTTGGATTAAAACATTGGCACAAATAAAAAAATATTTATAATGACTGCGTCCTAACTATTTATCACCCATAAATCTTATTTAACATTATATTCTTTCTACCTATTTAAACATTCAAAGAGTAATCTTAGTAAATTAATAATGCTAAACAGCAAACATGCAAATTGATTAATAACAATTAATTATAATAAATAAATACAGCAAACTGAAACAAGAAAGAAATGACTATGCAAAGCGAATTCTTTTTATTTAACATATCAATAATACTAAATTTGTAATGTAGAAACTATGTTAATTATATCCAAAACAATAATTCATCCAGTTATCATGTGTGGAAGGAGCACAACATTGGGCTGTACTCAATATATATTTCAGCAGAAATGATAGAGAAAAATATTATGGAAAAGAATAAAAATAAATTTCGTCCAGAATAAAATAATCAGAGAAGAGTTGAACATGTCTATATTGAAATTGAAATGGAAGAACTTCAAATGCACTAGTCTGGATGTGTGTAACATAAATGACACATCTATATATCTAAAAGTAAAATCAACAAGTAAAGGCATCAAAGACTGAAATAGGAAAATAAAAACATTTCAATGAGTCTCCTAAAGCATCTCCTCCCAAGCTGGAGCTAATATATTTCTAATGGCGAATTCTAAGTAAAAGAAAAAAGTGGCTTTAGTTGTAATCCATCTCAAGGAGAATGAGCTAATAAGGAAAGATATGTGAACAGCTCAGCAAGAAACCTTGTTCTCTCGTTTAATAAAAAAAAAAAAAAATGTTATTTTGAAACATGAGGGGAGCTAAAGGTAGGGTAATAAAGAACTAAATAAATAGATCTGATATGATGGACCAAAAAACAATAAACAAGACCTTATACATAAACCAAGTTTTCAAACAGATCAGTAATAGGTGGGGGGAGGCGGGGTGGCCGAATGGGCTAAAGTGTGTGCACAGCACCGCGAGTTACCTGGCAACCAAATAACAGATTTGGGAAGATTAAAAAGTACAAGATTTTAAATTCCCCGCCCTCACCCCTCGGCTTGTGAAAATCCCTATAGCCTAAAAGGCAAGCTAGGGAAGAAGAGAAAGGAAAAAAAAAGATAAGTAATAGTTGGGACAGGGTGGCGAGTGGGCTAACGCATGTGCAAAACACACAACACACGTTGCCTGGCAATCAACCACATAAACAAAGTTACAAGATACAAAAAATTATGAGTTCATGCCCCAGCACCGGGAAGGACTTATTAGGCTTATTAAACTGGCCTTAATCTCCCACCTTCTCCTCTATCCCAAAAAAACCGCATATAGCCCCAAAGGTGAGGAATGGAGGAAACACAATATCTGTAATAGTTATTCATCAAAAAATAGGAAAAGATATGGATATATAAATGTGTAGAGTACAGATATTTAAATATCTACCAATTCTTATCTATTACTTCAAAAGTCAGTTCATACTCTGGATAAGTAAATCAGCGAAATAGCTAGTGTTAAAACAAAATATTTACCATGAGCAATAGAAATAGAGGAGAGGAAAAAGCATAATAAATTGTGCAGCTGCTCAACTTGAGCAAATTGAGTTTTTTTAGAATCAGTTTTCTGATTTTTTGGTAAATTTAGAAACTATTTTTTAAAAACAAAACTATCGTACCTGGCTTTATAAAATGATGCAGACGATGAAGTTCCAATAGCTCCAAATCCTACACCAACAGCCAGTCCCTCAGGAATGTTATGTACTGTTATAGCAATAATAAGAAGTAATATCCTCTTCCACTGCAGTCGAAGGTCTACCTGAGGAAGCGTAGGATGCCTGTGCCGACTCTGTGTTGTTACTCTTCTTCTCGTGATTGTACCAGTTCCCCCTTCAACACTGATATCCGACACTAAAAAATTAAAAATTCGAATCATATTTTGAAAATTATGTTATCTAAAGCTAAAATTTCGTATTGTTTTCTATTTTAAATCATATATAAATGGAACAAACTCACTCGCAATGTTAATAATAAAAGAATCAGCTAGAAAAAGAGAAATTTAGAAGGAGAAGATTTATAAAAGAAGTCAAGACATACTCAACTGGTCACCACTGACCTTATAAAGTTCAACCATCACTAAATTTTCGATTTATATCTTTAATTAATATCGCTAATGTGGAGCAAAATCATGTAATCCAAGCAAAGGACACATACCATAAAAAAAAATATATTATTGAGAAATAAATATGTTGAAGACTTCAATATTAATTTTAAAAAAAGAATTTTTTTATATTTATAATACAAAAATATATTATAAGTTGATAAAAATAGCTTTATTAGTGACTATTCCTTTATTGGCCCTATGCTTAAGATCAACCAAAATCGAAAACAAGAGTAGATAAGAATAATCATGTAAAAGAATATCTGAAATTCATTAAGGTGCGAAAATACTGTCAACAGATAACAGAGCTCAGCACAAGATGTTTTAGGATGTGGTGTTCCCTTCCATGGATACCCAACCATTTTCATTTTAGTATTTATATTAAAAAATGATTTATGCAACAAATTTAAGAAATTTAATAACTGTATTGCCCACAACTTCCTCACAGTATTACAACTTAATGATCCATAATACCGAACATGTTTATCAGAAAAAAATTCAAAAGTAGTATTAATTTCTTGTTAATGTTAAAGACAAGAAATAAACCTTAACTTTTTATTTTTTTTTTTTTATGCAATATTCAAACTTTTATTAAAATTCAAAGGATTGTTACATTATATTTTTAAAAAGGGCATAACCTTAATTACTGAATAATTATATTAAATAATGTTCAACAATATAAAGTTTGCCTAAAAATGTTAAAACAGTACTTTAAAATTAGCAATATGGGCATTTTGAAAAGGTCAAATATTTGGAATAATTAACAAAATCTAATTAGGCTAAAAAAACAACATCTGTTCCCACAGAGGCTAATGGCAGATTTATGTTTGTACAGAAATTGTAATATTTAAACACATCAGTCATAAAAAAAAATGATAAATTTCATTTTCTTGGAAATTGTTATCCAATGATTGGCTTTATTTGTTTTACAAATCCAATCAAGGTTGATATCATTTAATTCCCTGTAATATATTATATTACTTTGTAAAAAATTATCTCATTTTTCATTCACTTCTTTCTTAGCATTTAATCATATTAATTAATAAAAGTTTTCCACCAGTGGAACAAACCAATTGGTATGGCAATTCATAGAAGATGATGCTTGTTCTTAATAGACTGTGAGTAGATTGTTCCAGAAATTTGAACAGTGGCATCAGCCTCAAGAGGAAAGAGGGTTCTCAAAGAAAACAATAATTTGATGAACAAGCTTTGTAGGACGTTAAAACAGAATTACCAAAACGTATTCAGGAATTGACAAATGCTTGGAGTTCTCCAATTCAGGATGATTTGGGAAAAGTAAATCCCTTATCAAGATTAGATCCCCATGACTTGACCACTCAACAGGCACAACACCGAGTACAAATTTATCAACCACATTTGAAAAACCTAAACATTGTTTATTAAAAGAATTGGTGATTGTAAAGGAACGTGGTTACATTGGAAGAACCCTAATACCAAGAAACAATGGTTAAACTGCAATCAGCCTACCATTCTAGTCACCAAGCCAGGACAATCATAAAAAAAAAAAAATTTCCCTCCTCTTTTTAAAATTATTAAGATGTCAGTGGAAAAATAGGGTATAACCAAACCATTAAATTTCTCATACATCCTGTCATCATAAAATCCAGAGAATATTTTAAATTGCTTTAGAATACACTTACAGGAACTCTCTAAGGCATCTGAAAAGAAAATGTCATGTGACTTTCTCAATCATCCTCCATAATAGTGCAAGAGGATTGTCGTTTTATAGTGATGCCTATCATGATCAACTTTACTAGTGTTTAATTATACAAAAGACATTAATAAATATTAATTTAAATGAATTCAGATAAATTTAAACTGAAAATTAAAAACCAGATTTTAATTTTTTTTTCCAGATCCTAATAAGAAATTAATAACCAGCATTCAAACAGCTATATTAAAGGGCAAAACACAGCAAGCAAAATAAATACATAAAATAATCTTTTAAACAATACTAAATTCCATAAGCATAAATTATATACATATATTGATAAAAAGTAATAGCTTCTTAAATTAAAAGGGCTCTTTGCATTAGGAAAATCATTAAAATTTAAAACAATTAAAGCCATTCAAATTATTAACTACTTTGAAGTTATTTTAAGGTTAATTTTTGGTTAGAAGCACCTGCTATGTCAACCCTCTCTAAAACTACATTCTCAGCTATATACAACTGACACAATCTACTTAATAAACAATTCATCAAAAATACGGACGTCACAATAAGCCTTAACTGATTTTTTTTTTTTACATACTTACTTAATCACATCTCTTTTACTGCTAAGCAGTATGAGAAGCTTCTATTGATGTAAACTTATTTTCTGTCATTAATAAAAAATTCACAAAAATGGCAACTAGATAAGATAAAATTCATAAGAACTTTTTCAAACATGAAAAAATAATCTATATCTTGATATTCAAAGAATGTTGAAATAGGATCCCAAAATGTTTGATTCAGAATAGGTCAAGTTCTATACCTACCAGTTTCAGTAAACAAATATTACGAGACAGTCCCTGATAACTGAATCTTGACACTCCCACTTTGTTTAGTATAAGGGGCAACCCCTAGGTAGCTGTCAGGTGTTGTAAAAATGTACTCCTATTCAATAAAGGAGTAGTAGGTTAAATGCAATTTACTAACAGATTAGTAAGGTCATTTACAATTCATTTTAACAATATCTGAAAAGGAGAAAATCTCTATTTTCACCATATTCTAATACTTCAATTTAATCTGTTAAAGCTATATCATTGTATCAGATGGAACTTCATGTTTAAGAAAAGCCGTATCATAATTCATTTTCTTTTAATTAATTATCATCTCCTTCAAATCTGTATCCCCAAATGTCAAATAAATATTAAAAATCAGAAGCACTAACTAAAAATAACATGCCAGACATGAAGACCTCAAAATCCAATATGTTAATTTTTAGTTATCTTATGCTTTCTGTCATTAATATACAGTTATTTGTTCGATTACTTAGGTGCAGTCTGCAACTACATGAAAACATTTGTAGGAACGTTGTTATTTACGCACAACTGAGCCTAAATTTTGTCTTGTTTTTCATTTTAAAATTTCAAGTGAATATTAAATGTATGAAGCTGTTCCAGCCTTGATTATTGACATTCATATCAATGTAAAAACCATATATATCATGCACCGTTTATCGGTTAATTTTCAGTAGTATGAAAATAGTCATACTACTCTGCTTGAGAAATTGTTGAGACGTCAAGATAAGTATTATTATAATTGTGTTTATAAACGCTGTTATATATACAAAATCTTGTTATTTAGACAGTTCTAATTGTGAGCTAGAGGAGTATAGGGACATGAAATACAGCCTTAGTGGCAATAATAACATTATAATAGGGGCCTGATTTAATTTAATTTACATTTATTTATTATAAAATTTCAACCAAATCTAAAATCAGCAGAAAGCAATAAAAGAGAAATTATATTAATTAAAGATGACACACAAAGCCTTTGAATATTGTAAAGAACATTCATAAATACCAACCTATAAATTTAAATATGAAGTATTGTATTTTTTAAACTGGAGTAATAATTAACTCTTCCTATTAAAAGAAAAACAACAGTAACAAAATAAATAAAAAGATTTTCAGGTGCCCATAATAACATGAATTATTATGTTGATAAATACTGTTAATAAGAAATGTGCTGTAACAGTACTATGTTTTACTAGGATTTTAAACTCTAAATATTTATTTTTAAGCATCTAAGACATTATTTTCATATGTTACTGTTTTAATAAATAGCCGATATTTATAACATGGAAAAAAAAATTATCATTTTAGCCACAATATCTTATCCAGTTCAGAAAACCAGAAGCTAATTTCTAATGAAATACACCCACCTACCTAGTTGTTTTTCAACAAATTTTCCTAGGTCATACTTACGCACGCACACACATTTAAAATAAATAGATTAAGTAATTCAGTAAAGAATGAAGCAATATTTATTGCTATAAACACTATATACAAGGAGCAGAAGAGAATAATATGTCATGGCAATAAATCCTTTTCTTATATCCAAGAAAAGCAGATAGTAAGGTCCTAAAAAATCAAGACGAACAGAGTCTGAAAGAGTTCTTTAAAATAAATTAATTTTTATAGATAAAACTTGAATGTTTTCAAATGAGAATACATATAATGAAGTTCTACGTATTTGTTATTTATTATTAAAAGTTGTACCACTATGACCCATGAAGGATCTTGGGTTTAGTACTATTTATTATTGTTTTCATAGTCGCCAGCTGGAGGGAGAGGAGAAGCAAGCTGCTTTGTGACCTCTCACCTATCCCCCACAATATTTTGTGAAGAGAAGCAAGCCCCATCAATATTCCTCAGTCACTTACTTAAAATTTCAATAAACGTTACAGAAAATAATTATGATATTAGTTGGTTCATGCAAATAGTTCGCTAAGTATATTGGTTAGTGAACGAATGGCAATATAATAAAATTAAATGCATTTATAAAAGGAAGGAATTCATTTTCTTATCCTTGGTCATAACATTTTGTTCAAAATAAAAAATCAAAACCTGTATAAAATACAAATGGCTGTATAATTGCTAAAAAATATCAAATTTGGATGATTTAGTTTTTTTTTGTTTTTAGTTTTCAAGAGAATTTCGAAACCTTTCAAATTCTATATACTACATAGCACCATGAATTTTATACTTTTCAATTCAGAGTCTAGCGTTAATAAAATTTCCT